AAGATGGAATTGTATTTGCTTTATGTATATAGCATTCAGTAATTTCATAATGACTAAAATTAGAAAGGCTTGGCTTAATTTGTCTTACTACGTTTTTGGAGCATTATGCTTTAGACCACTCTTTTTTAGTACTTTCCCTCAGTTTCTGAGGCCAAAAAGGGACTCCTCATTTTTAGTACAACTGATTGTACATATTTTCCTGAGGACAATTCTATATGATGGTGCAATACATGTACATATAAATATGAATAAGCTTGTGCTTTTTATCTAATACAAATAAGCACTAAGATTCAAAGTTTTCACATCATCATTAACAGCTTTATTTGACGAGGTTACTGTTTAGGTCTGAGAGGGAGATTCTGGATGTCAGCGCACAGCAGTGGCAGGGTGCTCAGGGGAAAAGTTTCTGCTGTAATTCAAAGAGACTTTACAATTTCATTGCTTTGTGATGCCTCACATTGCCCTGCCTGGCTACAACTTCAAATATATTTACTTGTCTGCTCCTCCAAGCTCATATTTACCAATAAGGCTGGAACCAAGTTTTTGATGAGGAATATCAGCTTTGTGGTCTAGATTTTTTTTCAGCCTGAACTATTCTGGATGGGACTAAACCTTCTGAAAGCTAGGGGAGTAACCACATTCTTGACTTAGACAATTATAAGAAACAGTTAAGCCTTGTCAGCTGAATAGTTGAACTAATATCACCCCCATTCCCAAACCAGGTCCACACAACCACCCAAAGCAAAGGCACATGCGATCAAAAGGATTTCTTTGCCTATTGTTTCGCAAAGGGTTGTACATCTGCAAAGAAAAGCAGAGAAGAAAGAGGAAGCATCAGGAAGTAAAGCAGGAAATCCAAGAGTTCACAAAAAGCCTCAAAAGAGGGAGGGTTTGGGGCTGGGTACTGCTATAAAAAGTATGAAAAAAAAACAACCCCTCTAGCATTATTTCATGCTTGTGGTGACTGAGGAAAAGAGATTTTATACATTCTTTGTAATTAAATAAATTACCTCAAGAAATGTCACCAATCTCTCTTCTAAATGCTGCAGGTGTAAGTGTGAAGCAGTTTCCAAATATAAATACAGTGCACTACTACTCTTGTTGAAGAGAAGGGTGATGGTAGCAGGGCTTGTGGAAATGAGCGTCAGACCTATAGCAATTAATGAAACAAAAAATCAGAAATACCACAAAATTACTAAAATAGAATCTCAGGACAGAGTAGTGAACCTCGAAGAGAGGGAAAATCCATGCTGAGAAAGTGGAAGAAAACATGTAAGTAAATTGGGAAACATCACGTTTTGTAACTTAGCTATTTGACATTTATACTTCATGCACAACTCTTGATATTTATGAACAGAAAACCACCAAAGTGCTAACATAATCACCAAAGACCAGAAGATTTTACATGAACTTTTGAACAGCTTGGAATATAAGAGCTATTATGAGCTGAAGCAGGGATTGAATGAACTAAAACCCCCTCTGTTTCAGAAATAAATCACTAAGTCGTGGATCAAGCTGGATGTATTCTGCTGGGAAGCAAAGGAATGAAAACTGCCCAGTCTGATAATGGAAAAGTATAAAGTCACTTAAAAAACTTTTAAAAGAGAAGATATAGCTTTATTTTATAATCCAAGGAGAAAGTAACAGTAACTCAAATCTACTGCCTCTGGTAAGGTAAGCTTCTGGTCCAAATAAATAATTTGCGATAAAAGATACAACTAAGATAATTATCATGAGTAGGATTTCAGCCTGCCGGTAACTGGGAACTGTGGAATTCAAGGTTGCTAAAAGTTTATTAAGTAACAAATGTGTGTAATGAAAAGTATTTCAGAAAGAATATTAACATTTCTTAAAAGATAAATTAAAAAAAAAAGACATATCCCCAAACCATCTCCTTTGAATTTCTGCAATGGGGCTGAGCAAAGAAAAATGCCAGGAATGTCAGTAAAATTGTTTTAGGTTGATGTGAAAATCATCACTTACCTACTGTAGTTAAAATGCCATCACATCCAATCAGTTAATGCTCTTTTCTTTTGTCTCCCTCCTCCTTTTTTTCAGTGTAAGCATTTTAGACTCTGTTGGGATGAAAACTGAAACTGAAATAAGGATCTAGTTCATGTGTTAGGCTAAACTTCATCACAGTTTCCTATGGGAAAGCGTGGTTAAAACAATACTCCTACAACAAATATGCAATGCAGCTCAAAATAGATACAGGAGTAAGGAAGTGTTTTGTAATGAATTATATTCCTGTATTACCTACAGCAATTACCTTCTGTTGCATTATGGCAGGTAGATTGACTGACCACAAAAGAAGAGGAGAAGGAGAAAAATACCATCCCTGAAAACATTTAAAGCCAGGCTGGATGTGGTCCTGAACATGATCTAAAGATGTCCCTGCTTGTTGCAGGGGGGGGGTTTGACTTGATGAGCTTTGAAGCTCCCTTCTAACCCAAACCAGTCTGTGATTCTATGATTCTATGAAAAGAATAAGAGGAAAATCACATGAAAAGAATAAGAGGAAAATCACATAAAAACAGAGAAAAAACGGGGATACAGTCAGCACAAGCACTTGCCCTTGAGAGAAGCTAAGAGTGAAGACTGAATGTTTATTTGATATGAAATGTACTTGGAGTTGGCATGAAGATGTCATCCTTGTGCCATGGGAAACAGGAGTTCACTTTTTGCAGACATCAGGTGTCCAAAAGACCTGATGCAGACATCAGTCATTAGCTTTACAACAGTTTTTAGGGGAGAGAAAGCTCATAATGGATCTTGGTTTTCTTACAAGTTGAGGTGAAGTAGATTTGAAAGTGGCCAAAATAAAAATGGCCCAGAAATCAGACATGGGGAGAAAACAGCTGTCTTTAGCTAGAGGTGATTTTCCCCTGCCAGTTGAGATTACTGGCACTTTCTTTGCTTTGCATTTTGTTCTTGAAGCTTGAGGAGCCACGCAGGATTTCCCACCCAGTCAAATAGTTCAGCCGCCTCAGTTGCCAAAAAGGAAATCTGGAGTTGAGATAAGGTAGCTGGCATTGTCAACAAATGGGTCCCCAAAACACCCCTGATGCCCAAGGTGCAGAACTTCACTTTCTTCACTAATACAATCAACTTTCCAAAAGTTAGCTTGACTTCTGCAGTAGTTTGGACCTTGTATGGTTCACAGGTGAGTAAACAAAACGGAAAACTTGATTTTTTCTGTTTTTTTTTCAGTCCTTCTATTTCTTCTTTGCACAGCTTTATCAGTGGCTCCTGACATGATACTATACTGCCTGATTACTTGTGGGGAGATGCATCCCATCGCAATTTTTGGTTATTTTACAAAAACAAGACAATTTGGGAATGTGGTTTATGGTTTTAAGCACCCTGTTTTAAACCTAGGTCTAGTCTGGGTGCGTTATTATTGCATTGCTTAATGTACATCATTTAAGTGTCTTTTTACATTATTTAGGTATAAAGAAAAGCAGAGATCAAAGACTTTTGACTTTCTTATTCAAACAGAGTTTTCTTCTTTGTTAGAGTATTACAAAAAGCATACAAAGGTGCATACTTTTTGGTATAAAGATACCTTTCTGGTTTTAGCTTTGTAAGGATATAAGCAGTGCTAAACCTGTAGCTACTAGGCTTAGTAAACTCATTCTATGGACCCATTTTATGTCTCTCTCTCACAGAATTCCCTCCTTAGTGATGGAAGATTTACACTACCTAGTTTTAAATGATCATACTATTATTCAATAGGTAGCTCACAGGAAGACCTTTGTGTCAATATGACCAGGAATGGGATTTGCTACTGTCTGATTCTTCATAATGTTGTATTTAACTTACAGACCTTTAGTTAAATTCAGATTGAATTTCTATTTCAGTGCAGCCTCTCTTTTCTCCAGCAGTGCTGGATCAAGTTCTGACTCCAGGAAGTGAAGAGCACAAGGCCAAATCTCATTGAAATGTCCATTATTTGTGCTTCTCAAGCACATCTAAATCTTTGTGTTACTCTATCATCTCCATTGACGTCAAGAGACATTTTTAAAGCTTAAACTCTTCCTCAAAATAAAACTTGTGATGTGGAATCCCTTCAACTTTGTAAAAGTCAGCTTCCAGAACTGGAGTAGAAAAATGTATAGAAACACAATTTTATATGGATTGAACCAAAATGCAAGATCATTACCTCCTATCTGGATTTGTAGGTTTCAGTTTAGGACTGGTGAAAATAACAAGCATTGGAAAAGAAACGAAAATAGAACAGAGCAGTCACCTTAAATCAGTGTCACTACAATTTTTGCATGCCCAATGAGACTGTTATTTTGACCCCCAAAAAGTTGGAACATATTTAACCTAGAACTAGGACTTCCTGTGGAAAACTTAGCTAAGCAAAAGTACTTGGTAAGAAGTCTCATCCCCAATGTGGAATTTTCCTATACCACAAGTTCAGTCCATACCACAAATTCAGCTTCCACATCCTATTTGGGTCCTATTTTAGGAGAAGATTCATCAGACAGTTAAGAGGTATACATATTGCTAAAGCTTGGTCAATGCAAATGCAACTCTACCAACATTCATTTATTGAATGACAAGGTAAGGTGTCCTGTGTTTTTAGTTAAACAAATTCAAGAGTAATCTAGTAATGTGTAGCTCTATTGAAATGCTTGAAGTAGCTTACAATTTTACTTTTCTTGGACAGTGTAATTGATACCTATACCTTCTAGAGGCTAAAGGTGGGCTACAAGAAAGCTGGAGGAGGACTTGTGACAAGGGCCTGTAAGAACAAGACAAGGCGGGTAATGGCTTTAACCTGACAGAGAGGAGGTTGAGATGAGATCTTAGGCAGAAACTCTTCCCTGTGAGGGTGGTGAGGCACTGGCACAGGTTGCCCAGAGAAGCTGTGGCTGCCTCATTCCTGGCAGTGTTCAAGGCCAGGCTGGGGAGACTTGGAGCAACCTGGTCTAGTGGAAGGTGTCCCTGCCCATGGCAGGGGGATGGAACTGCATGAGCTTTAAGGTCATCTCTTCCAACACAAACCAGTCTGTGATTCTATGATACCAGCTGGTCATAAACTAAATATATGTATGTTAAAAAATAAACCAGTTTTCTAACTCCTGTATTCCATAAAAATAAGAATGTAGCCTTTCTTGAGGAACTGCTAAAACAGCCATGAAAGTGATATATCCTCTCTGTGGACACAAAATTGTTAAGTGTGAAACATCCATATGCTCTAGGAGGACAGGGTCACTAAGATAATACCCTCTGGAAAGTTAGAATGAAAATACTAGTAATGAAAATAGTTTTGTTGGATTTTTTTTTTTAGAAAAGAAAATGTGAAAGTCATTGACAAAATTATTGCATCCAACTAATATACATTTGAACGTGCCTTAGTTTATCTCATGTCTCTTTTACCACAGATAATAATTCTACAATAGCTAAAGTAAGTGATGTGACTGTCAAATATACAGTTCATAAAACCTGTCTGTGTTAATGCTTTTCATAAAATCATAGCTGTTAGGTTTTTAGTAGTGTTTTGAAGACTCTCAGTCACTTCCAGCCCCATAGAGGATTCCTCCATCCCCATCAGTGTCCTCTCCTTCTTCGCTGGTTCCTGTATGGGGGCTTCAGGAGACTCTCTCGATACTTCACGTTTGCGTGGAACAGTCGGACCATCTCATGGTCTTTGTTATCTAATACTCTGGGCAGAAAGAGAGAGGACTTCTGTGTTCTGCGAGTTTTAAAGCCCCTTCTAGGTCGTCCTTTCCCGTTGATTGAGACATACCAGAGTCTCTCTGCACTGGCTTTGCGCTTAGTGCCTGCTCTGTTAGGTACAGTTCGGTAGAGACGGGATGCGTAAGTATTGTAACCCAATTCATGGATCCTCTCCACAAATTCACACTCTGCATTATAATTTTCCTGTAAAGAAAACATGACAAAATTTAAGAAGGGCCATATGAGTAACAGATCTCTTCTAACTCCAGAAGACTGGACTGAAGTCTTAAGCAAGATTCAATTTTAGGATAAAATTGATGTGATGAGAAAAACTGAGACTTCTTGTGCTACGAAAGGTAAGCAGAAGCGAAGCACTGAGACTGATTTGCAACAAAGCACTGTGAGGATACTCAGAATCACAGACAGAAAGAGACCAAAAAAAAAAAATTGAAAACAAAAAATGTTGTGTCAACAAGAATCAATACTCTGCTGATTGATTGTTCTGCTGTAAATGTGTTGGTTTTGTGCTTACTGATCTAAATATGCCTGTTAACCTAACGAATGATTGCAGTGCTGCCTATCAACCTTTGCCATCTATTAAAAAGGTAAAATCCTACAGTTTAATGTAAAATCTGGTTCTTCAATTGGTCTATTAATAGTTAGATACACCTGTAGTCTATTACACCCAGTTTGTTATGGATATTTGAGCAGTAAAAAAGCAACTTTATGAGGCTTCTTTGTTTGCTTAAGCATGACAAAACAAAAGCACACCCTGCCCACCAGTGTGTTCCTCCGAAATGCTAGGCTGCTCCTTTACCACAACCCCTGAGGGAGAATATGCACCCATCCTGGGTGCTCACATTTTACATGAGCTGTCAAAATCTCCCCCTTTTCATCTCAGCTGAGAGAAAACTGTGCAAAAGCCTGGCATGAGGACTCCTTCCTCCTCCCTGAGAGCAGTACGAACACAGCAAGTAAAGGACCTCCCACACTGTACATGTTTTCTTAACTAAAATCATCTTTGCTGTACCTGCGTGATGAGAATTTCAATATCTAACATGTAAGGCCCTGAGGCAGAAGGGAACTGGTACCCTGGTCTTCACTGAGCTTTTCTTATTTCACTTCTCCTCTGCGGAGGACATGGGTACAGGTAGCCAAGCTGGGGCTTGAAAAGCCATAGGCTCCACCAACAACATGTCTTTAATGATATTCAGTCACCAGAATGCCAATAGGCATTTAATAAGGTTTTAAAAGACTCCACATGTCTCAGCTTCACAGCTGTAAAACAGAAGTACCCTTCCTCACAAGGACAAGGGTTTCAGATGCTGTGGTGCTGGAGCACACGCAACCTCCAGATGTAGGTAGATTTGTTCTGCTGTCTGCCTCAGTTCTGATTGTCAAGGGTTTACCACAGAGGATAAACTTAAAGGATTATCACAGATCTGCTAAGGATGCAAACAAATTCTGGAGGCTCAACAAATTCATTTTATTGACATGGGAAAATTGGTGAGCCAAGGAATAGCAGAGTTATTCCAATACTGTTTTTCTGGGGAAAAAGAAAAAAAAAAAAAAAGTTGGAGAGAAATAGGTTTTCCTGGATTATCCCTGCAGCTCTGAAACCCAAATCTGAAACAGTCTCTCACAGACCTGAGCTGGAACAGCAAAAATTATCTTTTTTTAGTTGTTCAGAAACCTTTTGTGGCTGATATCCTTTGGCATATGACAGCTGAACAAACTTCAGGATGGCTTGATGCTCCTCACACTAGAAAGGGAAGTCTAGGAGATGAGGGTTCTCTGGGCTATCCTATTCTAGGATTCTCTGGGCTATACTGCTGTAGGCAAGCAGATTTTTATTCAGAATTTTTTAGTCTTGTTTTACTTAAGTTTAATTCATTTGGAGGAAAAACAAGAAGAAAGAAAGATGAGAAAGAACTTGAAAATTCATCCTTCCCACTAATTTCTTCTGGGCAACACTGGCTCTCAGCTAATGCAGCAACCTCCACCAAAAAAGACGCCCACTTTAATCAGAATACTAACTGGAACCATAGAAGTGGCCAGCTTTAGCTCTGGCACAGCAGAGCTAGTATGTTCTCATGCCACTTCAGCTGCATTTTCCTTTACAGGAATTGTTTGTGACGTGCACCACATAAAACACATTACAGAAGTTGGGTCGTAAACACTATCTGATCATTCTTAAAAAGGTGGAGTAAAATACATTAAATGAGGAATGAATACATTAAATGAGGAAACTGAGTTGACTGTGTTACCAAGGTGGCATTCATGTGGAAAAGCTGGCATTGCTTGAGGATATATTATGCTGTTTAAGTTGACAGAATCTTATCTAAGGACTAGTTGGAGGAAGCAAATTCTACATAGCCATATTTACCCTCCTCAAATATGTTTCCATACCACGGTATTCCTGGAGAAACTGCGCAGTATGGCTGTTAGACAGTAGGAGATCACAAGATTGCTAGGGATGCAATCAAAGACAATTTAAGAAATTTAGGGAGGTAGATAATGTGTGTAGTATACACACTGACAAATATGCCTTTGTATATTCCTGAACGCAAGGAAGTCTAAGCTGAAGTGTTTTGTTCACTAAGGTGAAATATTGGCTGGGCTGAAAAGGCAAGGCTCCCACTAATATCAGCAAAGCTCAGATTTTACCTCAAAGACCAGGACAAAAAAAAAATAGGTCAAAGGAGTAAAATAAGGTGTTTATTTTCACCTTTATCTTCTTGCAGCTTCTCGTACTTCTTTTCCTTGCTATAGCCTTGCCTTTTAGTACCTGTAAATACTTTCACTGCCCAGCCAAATGCTCTGTGCAAAGAAAATCCTGTCAGTAGGCTGTTTTCTTGTAAGAGATGCTCATTTACTTACGGATGTTTGTGATCCAACATGTATATCCTCTGCTAGTGCCCAAGATCCATACCAAATACAGGCAAAAAGAAAATAAGAACACAGCTTCTTTTCACTCTAAAAAGTATACCAATTTGTTATCTGCAGAATTCCAGACAGAAATCGGTTGTAACATTACTCTTTTCTCTCTAAATGGTTATTTATAACAAATCACTACTCCCCACTAAGCCCCTTCTGCCCATAGGAAGTGACAGGCAGACATCAATCTTAAGTACAACTTACTGATGCATAAAGTCTGCCCCTTTTGCTCATGGCCAGATATCTGCCAGAGAACAACCCCTTGATGGCAACGATTCCAACATCAACAGCAGTTATTTCAAGAATACCTAGAAACAGAAAAAAGTTATGAGATATGTTGTTGTTCCACCATAACATGTAATTTTCTGAGATACATTTGAACATCTGCTTACCTGCAGAGTGTGATTTCACAGCTCTCACTACCTCACATCAAGATCACAGTGCAACCATGACTTAAACCAGACTATTATTTGGAACAGTATAAACCAACATGTGGGAACTGCTTGAGACAAGCTTGACAATAAATCCTGAGATGTCTGATTGAGATTGAACTCTTTAAAAAATGAAAAAGATCTGACACTTAACTAGAGGTTCGCTTAATCCTGTATGTATATAAAAGTTTAAATCCGCTTCAATTCTTACTAACACAAGAGCTCTTGATTTATTGTAACCAGTCACAAAGCTGCCCATCACAGGACAAAGCCCTTGCTGAGGTCTCCAGGGGGAAAACCAGAGTGAGTTGGCTGCATTTTAGAGCCAGGTATATAATCATGAAAGAAACTTGTCATTTAAGAGGTCAACATAGCCCTCCAGACAAGGACATTATGACTGTCCAAGCCAAATTAAAAGGAAGGAGATTTTCAGGCCGTCAAAGATGGGGTCTCGAGAGGAAGAAAAGCATCACAGGTGAGGCTGGTGCAATATCAGCTAAAGCGTTTATGTCCAGCCAAAGGCGCAACAATGTTGTCAGAGGCACAAATGGCTTGGGAGATGCAGCGTCACACATGCAGGGCTCTTTCGCTGGCTTGCTCAGGTTCTACTCTCAATCCCCTTAATGACTTTCCCTGAGCGTCTGAAGGCAAGAGGTGCCCCCTGCGCTCAAACCCGTTGCTGTCTATTGGCAGCGATACTGCAAAGCCGACGCCTGTCCCCTCTGCAGAGTTGGATTACTGGCCTGGGAGAATTGGGGCGGGTTTGGGGTGGGGTGGGTTTGGTACAGCTGTTTTGAATCAGGTCCCGGATCGCTGCCGAAGGATGCCTCTTCCAGCCGTTGATAATGAGGGGGGGTTCTCTAGGAAATAGCGGTTTTCCTTTATGGACTTCAGACAGATCCCTGAGGTCTCCCTTATCTCTGTGTGCCATCACCAGACGGGATTTAAGCTTTCTGGGATGGCAGGGCCGGGGCCGGGCTGTACCCTGCGCTCCCCCGGGGCAGCGGCCCCGCTGATCCCGCTCCGCTCCCTCCTGCCGCCCTCGCACAAACTCCCTCACTCCCCACATATCCCGTTTCATCTTAATTACCGCCTATCCGCAGCACATGTCAAAGGGGACAGATGTGATTTAGCCCGTGGAAGCTCAAGCTCCCCGTGAGGCAAGGGCAGTCTGCTGCCCGTCGGGGACGGCACCGGCTTCCCAGCGGCCCGGGCTTGGGCAGGGCTAGCGTGGGAATCCTCTACAGGGGCGAGGACAAGTGATAGGTCAGGCAGGATGAACAGGGTAGGGTCCCGGTCCCCATCGGAAGGGGGGGGGATTTAGGAATCCCGCTCTGAGCCCCACCGCCGCAGGGCAGGTCCCCACGATCGAGACAGGGGCAGAGAGGGGCGCCCCATCTAGCCCGCCAGCCCCCGGATCCGAGACGGGATCTCGCTGAGCCCGGCGAGGGGAGGGCGAGAAAGCTCCGGCACTGGGGGTACCCAAGCTCCCTCGCCGAGGAGCCCTGACGGAGCAACCGCACGTCCAGCTCCGGCCCCAGGCAGGAGGGGAGGCGGGAGCAGCTTCACCACCGCCCCGTCCGGCACTGTCTCCCCCGCCGCCGCAGCAATTGGTCCGAGGGAGAGACACCCCCCCCCTTCTGGGGATGCGGGATAGGGAAAGGTGTTGCCGGTACTCACTGTAGACGCTGTTTTTCTCCAGGGTGCCGTTGATCCTGCCGCTGGGGTGGATCTGGAGGTGGTACTTGGTGGCACAGTAGAGCTTCCTTCGCCGGGGCGCTCCCCCGAGGTGCTCGTAGACGCCGCCGCGGCCCCCCGCATCCCGGCACTGCCGGGGGTGGCTCGGGAGGGCACCGGTGGCCTTCCCCGGGGCCCACGGCTCCTGCAACAAAGTCAGGAACAAGATCCAAATTATAACCATTGTGGCATGGTGGCAGCAGCGCTTAGTCTGCCGGGGAGATGAAGGCTTGGAGCAAATGGCACCAAGGGTCCCATTAAAGCCGTCTTGCTAGCAGCACTCCGAAGTTGCAGAGCACACACTGTTTCGAGCCGCGAAGCATTGGTAAGATTTTATCGGCCCCGACCTGCCCCTTTTATCTGTCTCAGATTTACTTAAATCAATAGACATCAGCAAAGGCCACCGAAGAGTCCCAGCTGTTTGTATTAGATGGAGCTGCCATGATCAGCCTTCTCCTTGGGTTTCTGGCTAGACAGACGGCATGCAGGAGAGACAGAGAGGCAGGAGGAGGGAGGGGGAGACAGAGAAGAGGGTGACACCCGCTGAATTTCGGCAGAGACTGCGGGGGAAACAGTTGATCGACGGAGCATAGAAATAAAAGCAGCTTCCTGCAACAACAGCCTGATCTGCTACCAACTAATACAAAGCAGAGGAGGCGAAAGGTACCGCTCTCGTGTGAACTCCCAGAGCGCAGCGTGGATAAAATTACACAGCATTGCCCCGACACCCCGCAAGGAGGGGGGGGGGGGGAAGGGGGTTGGTGTTAGCTACTGCTCCTGCCTCTAGGAGAGGCGCGGAACCTCCGTTGGGCACCGCCGCGGCAGCCGCGGTTAGGCTGGGGGGGGGGGCGGTGGGATGATGCTCGGAGTGAACATCTTCCACCCGCCTCACTTTGTCCCCCGTGTTGAAAGCAAACAGTTATTAGTAAATCAAACAGCTCGTGGTTACAGATACGCATTCTTTAGGGTCTTTTAGTCATTTTTAAATTAACGCTAAACCCGGAGCTTTATGATATGCAAGAAGCCGGAGCATATCCTTCTCCTTAACTATGGTACTCCTTAGCTCTAGGAGAACTGCCCCCGCTACCGCGTATCTTCACACCCGTTCCTACGAGTTCCAAAGGTGATGGAGCTGCCTAGGAATAAATAGAAAAGAAGGCAAAAGTTACAACAGCTCCGGGATTTGAGCTGTTCCCTGTGTATGAGGCTCAAAGGCGGCTCGTTAATCAGATTTGCATCTGAAAAAGGCAGTAGGAGTTTTAGGGAAGTGTTTGGGAGATAATTAGTATTAATGTGTTGGAAGGGCACATAAATACACCTTTGAAGTGAGGCACGTCAGAATTCAAGCGTTTGACCTTGATCAATCTGAGATGGGCTGTTTTTTTTTGTTTGTTTTTGTTTTTTTTTTTTGTTTGTTTGTTGTTTTTTTTTGTTGTTTTTTTCCCCTGAATGGATGAACTTGAAGATATAAAATATTTTTAAAGACATTTTTATGTAGAACACGAGGATTTTCTTACACAACTTTAAAACTAAACAAGAAGCTTTTACTAGTGGGAAAATTAAGTGATACAACCTTTCCCTAACAGGAATTGCAGAAGGACGAGATTATATCGAAAATTTCTTCCTACTTTAAGCTGTGCTTAATATTTAGTAGTCCTCCAAGGCTAAAAGGCTTTTCATTATACAGTCGCCTGGATTAAAAGGAAGCACATAGGTCTCTTCCTCCCCAAGCACCCCTCTCCTCTACCACCACTCCTTCCTCCCCCTTGTCTTCCCCGCAAGTTAAACCCCAGCCTCTCACGGACGGTTTGATCTGGGGATGATAAATATTTGTACAATTAATTCTTTATTGCCGTGCTGCTGCAATGCCACTTCCAGGCTGTCTTGCAGTTCCAGTGCATGTAGTAAAAGTAAACCACTGGAAATGCTAATAATTAAAGCATCGTATCTACGGGAAAATACGAGAACAGAAACACACTGGACCACAATCTTGGCGTGTAGCAGGACTCGTTGCTTACGGTATAAATCCTTCAGTCCTTCCCAAAAGAAGCAGCCCTTCCTTCCAAGAATCCCTTGGGAATCGGGTCGTACAGACTCGGACCCTCTGTCGAACTACAAGGCAAAAGTGGTGGCAGAAAAATAAGTGAACGTGGAACTCTCCTGGAAGATGCTTTCAGCGGAACGTCGTGAAGGCGAGATAAGACTTAATTACTGCCAGTAATTACAGCCATCTCCTCCGAGGACATATCTGGTCCGAGCAGCGCCCCATGGGTGTGCAGCTGACATTTTACAGTTTAGGATTCGCAGGCAATTTTTCATTAAAAACACCCCCAATGTCACAAGACCCCCCCCCCCCATAAGAAACCCAAAAGCTTAGTGGGTGGAAGAGTAGCACATTAATGACTTCTGCTCAAATTGCTTCCATCTTGGTCACATCTTCGTAATTAGCACCATCATCTACAAGTCTTTCCGCCCTGGGCATCTGACGCAGGCTTCCCAGCGCTGTGTATTCTGCTTCTTAGGGAGGGCAACACTTAACGGCTCTGTCATTAATGATTCCCTTTTAAAAAGAAATGAATACAACCTTCACGGAAATAGCAAAGGGTTTGTAAGTAGCTTGCCTCGCTTAGTACAACACTGCGTAGCAAGTAACCTGAAGCAGTTGTGCTCGAGCCAGACATCTCTGCAATAAAACATAAGCCCACTCTTGTGTTTTCAGTTGTCTGGTGACCATTTTTTTTCGCAAACAGATCCTTTGCAAACAGATCCTTTGCAAAACAGTCCCTTTGATGTGGTCTCATTCTAACCGGGGTGGGGGGGATGTCAGATGTGGGCTTGCTGGAAATATTTTTAATTATGCCCCAAAGCTTCTTATAACCCCGAAGTAATAATTACAGGGAGCAGTTTGGATCTGTTACTTCACGTGGAGGGGAAAAACGAGCCATTAAGTGGCTTGGAATGAGTATTTTCCGTGGAACAGCGTTTCTCCTGGGTAGAATAGGCTATCTGGGACAGATGTTTTTATCCTTACACCATGCGTACTGTAAGCACCCGAAGCACTTGTCTTCTTCCCTTACATATTCGTGTATGCGCGCCTGAGATCTTCACAGCACAGCAATGCATAGTTCCATTTAAATATTAAGTAAATGGAAACATGAGGGAAAAACCTGCAAACCTCATGAAATTTGGAAAGCCCCCCCCCCCCCCCCTTAAAAATGCTGACTGAATTTAATCTGTAATAAACATTACACATACACATGTGTGTGAATGTGTGACGATTCCGCTTGAACTGGGATGGGGTTTTACTCTGCGGCCCGCTGCCCCAGCACTGATTTACAACCAGCCTGTTACTCTAACAAGAAGGAAGTTACAATTTGTAGGGCAGTAAATAGCCAGGTGGTGGGAGGATCCCCCAGTAGAAAAGAAAGGCCCTCCTCTTCCAATTAAAACTCCATCCTAACCCCACTGTGGGCCGTGGGAAGGGCTCAAAGCAAACACCTCGGTGGCTATTAGGGATCTGGTTGCGATGTGCTAATGTCATCTCCCGATCAGGGCTTTCCTACCCAGTGCAGCCTGCTCACACCTGCTGGTAGTGGGAAGAGCTTCTAAATTCATTTGATTTTATACAGCTATATCTTGTTTTCTTTGTGGTTTCCTAGCAGGGCTATTCCACACCCTGTGAACAATATAATCTTTTCTAAATGACTTTCCAGACCACACAGTATCACATTACCCAGCTCTACACGTGTGGGCAATGATGTTTAGTGTGTTGGACACTATTAACTTCCTGAAAGCAGGATAAAGGGAGAGTAGAAGAGGAAAGTTCTAGGGAGTAAATTTATGGCTGTCCAGGTTTGGGATGCTTTCTGAGGTGGAGAAAATAAGATTTAGATTCTTTCAAATCGAAAGAGACAGGAATAATTCTCTAAAGGCAGTGTTAAACATCTATCAGGCTTATCGTTTTCCCCTTTATTCACTTCATATGAAGTGTTTGTCATGTTTACAGGTACTTTTTATGGTTCATGAACAAACAATGTGAGATCTTCAGATTACGTATTATATGTTATAGCGCACTTAAGACAATAAATTAGTTTAGAATTCTTAAGCTTCTGAATTTAGGTTAAAAGCATGTGTGATTTTAACTGATACTGATATTAACATATGATAATTTAGCTGTTATATGTATTTTACAATGTATTACCTAAAAGAAATCTAGAGAGGGACTTTGGACAGGGCCTGTAGGGACAGGACAAGGGGGAATGGCTTTAACCTGACAGAGGGGAGACTGAGATGAGATCTTAGGCAGAAGTTCTTCCCTGTGAGGGTGATGAGGCGCTGGCACAGGTTTCTCAGAGAAGCTGTGGCTCCCCCATCCCTGGCAGTGTTCAAGGCCAGGTTTGATGGGGTTTGGAGCAACCTGGTCTAGTGGAAGGTGTCCGTGCCCATGGCAGGGGGTTGGAACTGGGTGAGCTTTAAGGTCCCTTCCAACCCAAACTAGTCTGTGATTCTATGGTTCTATTACACTGACATCATGGTGTGAATGGGTAAGTTCCTTACTCCAGGAAATTCCTACTAAAATTGGCAAGAGTTTCATTTGCTGAGGACTGAGGGATTAATTCTTCATTCAAAGTCCAATGAATTCACCAAGAACCCTTTTTTTTTTACATGCTGGTGAAGTTGGATCAGTCCCAATCTTTCTACTACAAAAAATATTTTTCTTTTGTTCTCAGATAATCTAATGGTTTATTAGGAATAAAACATTCAAAACAATGAATGCAGCAGCATGAAACAGATGTTGTTTGTCTTTTTCTCCTCTGTTGCTTACTCCTTTTCTATACAAAAACCAAAGGGGACATTAGAAGAAATGCAATGTAACCAAAAGCTTCGTGATGGTGGCATTTAGATGGCTTGTAGAGATTTGTGTCAGGCTCAACCTGTGCTACACCAGGGATATTCATGGAATCATAGAATAAACATGGTTGGAAAAGACTTAAGATCAAAAGTGGCCATGGACACCACTAAACCACTGGACTAAGGGCCACATCTACACGGTTTGTGTGAGTCCACCACTGCCCTGCGCAGCCTGTTCCAATGCCTGAACACCCTCTTTGGGAAGAAATTGTTCCTAATATCCAGTCTAAAGCTTCCCTGAAGCAGCTTGAGGCTGTTTCCTCTTGTCCGGTCACTTGTTACCTGGGAGCAGAGAGCAGCCACCTCCTGGCTCCATCCTCCTTTCAGGCAGTTGTAGAGAGCAGTAAGGTCCTCCTTGAACCTTTTCTTCTCCAGACTAACCCCCCCATTTCCCTCAACTGTTCCTCATCACACTTGTGCTGCAGGCCCTTTACCAGTTCTATTGCCCTTCTCTGGACCCGCTCCAGTTCCTCAATTCAGACCAATACAGAACTGTAAAGTTCAGCCATTAAAATAACTAACCATGAGGGAGATGGGGATGTCTAAAAGAGAAGAAAGGAAGTGTAAAAGCAATAGAAATAGGATGTGTTGATAACTTGGGGACCAAATTTGCACACCCATTTCACACCTTTGATATCTCAATCATCACTTGAAAGTCCGAGCATTGGGGAAAAAGCTTTTCTCCTTTATGTTACTCTTCAGCATGTGTTTTTGAAATCAGCTTCAAAGCATTTCTGTAGATTTACAAAGAAGTATGGTGCA